CATTATTTTTCTATTTTAAAACTGTTCTTTGATGTTGCTATCTAGACTTCATGATTACAATTCAAACAAAGGCACCCTTTTCTAGCAATGAAAAAGCCATGACTTACATCTTAACTTGCTTGTCTTTAGACACTGAGATCGTTTTAAATTTTTGTAGTATTGATAACTTTGAGATAAACATTTTCACAGATGTCTTTTTTCTTTTAAATTATTCATTCAAAAGAAATTCCCTTAAGAGCATGTGAACATTTATATTGCTCTGTATACATATTGACAAATGGTCTTCAAAGGTTGCAGACAATTTGTGTTGTGATCCATAATGCAGAAGAGAAGCAGTCGTCCCTGCAAGGATCTTTTGCCCACAAGGATTTAGTACTTGGAAAATATTCCTGCTAAGTTGGACATGAATTATCACGTGCTTTCATTTCTCTCCTGCTGTGGACTAGGAGCTCCATGAGGGTAGAGGCAGAACTTCTCCACCCCACCCACCCCAAATAGTTGTTTTGCTGACCCCAGTGTCTGGTACATAGTAGGTGCTTATTAAATCTTTGTGGACTAAATAAATGATCTGGTGAGAATCAACATTTTTCTTTTCAAGTTACTTTGATTTTTCCAGGACGTAAATTGAGAGTACCTACTTTGGCCCACATTGCTACTAGAGGCTGCCCCTGGCCTATTAACTTTTTTTTATTAACTAATATGAACTATTCTATCAGTCAGAATCCAGCCAGGGAAGCAGAAGTCACTGAGATGTTTGAAAAAGAAATGTTTTGTATGGGGAATTATTTGCCTCCGCAATGAAAGAAGTGAGCTTCCAATCTGGGGAGGGATGGGATGGGGGGGCACTTCAGAGGAAGCCACCATCACGCTGTGTTAGGGTGGGTTCCCTAGAAGCAGGCAGTGGGAAAAGTCTTGTACAAATGTAGAAAGTGATCCCAGGTAAATCCATCCAGGAAGTGAGACCAGGAGAGAAGGAAGCTTAGCAAGGGTGTCATCACCAAGCTGAGTCACAGAGAGGGGAACTGCAGGGGACTTCTGGGGAACCCATGGGACTTGTCCATATCAGAGGCTGGGGAGCTGGAGTATTTATGCTCCTGAATTTCCAGTCCCCTGTTAGGGGCGGCCCAGGGGCACATGAATTCCCAGGCACTGGGGTGGTAGGGGTGGTCTGGCAGCTTGTGCTCAGCCTCCAGAGGGGTACCTGCTGGCCTTCAAGAGTGGACACACTCCAGGAGCTCGGCCCATGAAAATGTGAAAGGGTTGGGAGGACAGGGGAGACCCGAAAGTCAAGGTAGCCCAGCGGAGCTGGGGCCTTGGGACCGTGGGCTGAATGCGTGCTCCGGAGAGTGCTACTGTAACCACAAATGGCTAGGAACTGTCAGGGGCTGAACAGGACCCTAGTTCCAGGTGGTGGAGGAGATGGAAGACAGGGAGGGAGGTGCCAGAAGCCAGAGGAAGGGTGGGGACTTCATCGTAAAAGGAACCTCTGGCACTTTCTATTGCCATTCTGTCATTTCTCTCTCTGCGACCTTGCACATTTGCTTTTAAATTTTGTATGGGCAAATGTGTTGATTTTTAAATTATTGCTTTGCTTTATTCTTTCATATGCTTAATTCTGTTTCCTGGCTACAACTCTAGGTTTGTTTGTTTTTGTTTTTTTTTTTTTTTTTTCATTTTACTTAAATCTTTATTCCATCTTGGGGTGGGGGGCTGTATTTTGTTAAATGGTATAAATTGTACAAAAGATGACTTTTTCTTCATATTACGATCCAGATACCACCAGATTATTTACTAAACAATCCTTGCCTACCTCCTGGTCTGCCAGATTTCCTTAGATGTTAAATTCATACATAACATTAGGTCAAAATCTATGCTTCTCTTTGTTTTGCTGCCATCTGTTTCTTTTCTTGCCCTGTGTCTTATCATGCAGATTAGTTGTGCTGTAATCTGTTTCCATATTGCTGAGTCTAAACCGGCCATATTTCCTCACTCATGGGTATCTCTTTCTTATGGTATCCACTGATGCTTTCTCGGGACTTTTAGAATCATTACACGAAAATCTGTAAAAATTCATGATAGGATTTGGGCAAGGATTGGATTCTTCTGTTTATAGATGGGGAAACAAGAGGCCAGAGTGGTGAGATGGTTCTCCCAGGAAGTAGGCCATGTTGCGAGGACTAGAAACCAGGCTTCCTTGCTGCCATCCTGGTGAGGAAGAGGAGCCCAGGCAGCCTGCCCTTTCTCTCAGATGCCTCCTCTGCATATGGGCTTCATGCACTTTACTAAATATATTTCCAGTTAGTAGTTTTAGGTAATAGACACACTAAAGGCACAGGGCTAGTCAATATGGGGAAAAGAGCTAGAAGGGCCCAAGCAGATAAGAGAAGGGGCATGAAGGACTTCTGTAGACACTCAGGTGTGAGGCGCACCAGCACTAACAGCAGCTGACATCTCTTCTTTCCCCCAGGGTTCCCACGATCAACATCATCATTATTGTGCTGTGTGGACTCCTGAGCAAGAGCTTGGTCTTCACTGTCCTTCTTGCTGTCACGCAGAGGTCATTTGGACCCTAGGCCAGTGAAACCATGAGAATGACCTCTGACCTTCAGTTATATCCCTCTGGCAGTTGTTCCAGAGGAGGGGTGTGAGGGAAAAGGCAAGGAGGAGCAATGACATGAGTTGACTCTGTAACACAGATTATTTCTAAGGCTCATGTCTCTCCTCAGCCCTGCCAGCTCCCCTCACTACACCAATAACCTTGTGTGTGTGTTTTCTCCCTCCGAAGAGAAGACACAGCTGCGAACATGCCCATTCCACCAGTGGCTTGGGATTTGCCTTAAATAAAGACAGAATCCAATGCTCTTCACTGTTGCTGTTGTGTGGTGGTTGTGAGGTACAGAGGGCACCACCACCAAAGCTGCCCTTGTGCTTGGCCTGGGCCATAACGTTTTGGCCTGACCTGAATAGAGCTCTTACTAAAGAAGCATCTTGTTCTCCCTGTCCCTGGATCTTCCTCTCCTCTAGAATCAGATGCTTGGGTTTCTTTCTTCATCTGTGGCCATCTCCTACATTCCCAGAGAAGGGGTTTGAAAACCACAGAATGAGGAGAAGACAAGACACTCTCTCTCCTTCTGCTCCTCCCCCTGCTCTCTCTCTCTTTCTAAGATAACTGTATAAATCTCAAAAAAAAAAAAAAAAGATAATCTAACTGGTGAAACCAGGAGGCAACACACAGCTGAAGCCACAGCTGAGGTCATAGCAAAAGAGAGTCAAGGGGTCTGGTCACTGGTTAGAATTCTGCACCCAATTCCTGTGTGTGTGTGTGTGTGTGTATGTGTGTGTGGGTGTGTGTGTTCATGCACGTGAATGTGCCCGTGTTTTGGGAAGGGGTGGTTTTCCCACACCAACAAGCAATTTTTGGACACCAGGTAGGTGTTCTGTAATTTAACTCAATTCTAATACTATCTACCCAAAGCTTCACCAGATTCCATAGATTGGGGGCTCAGTTCCATAAGACTCCCCCTCCCTATCTTTAGACGCCATTGGTGAGCACTTGTGCTTCTGACCCACCTACTATAGGAGTTCCCAGTGATCCCCTACTGGAGTTCCATTATTTTGTTAGAGCAACTTGCAGAACTCAGAAATATTTTACTTACCAGATTATTGGCATTTTATAAAAGAATATTAAAGGATATGAATAGACAGCCATATGAATAAATAAATAAGGTGAGGTCCTGAACAGCAGGGTTTCTGTCCCCATGGAGTTTTGAGCCCAGCACAGTGGCACATGGAAATATTCTGGTTTCCCAGCCTGGAAACACTCTGAACTCCGTCCTTTTTTTTTTTTTTTTTTTTTTTTTAAATGGAAGCTTTTAATGGAAGCTTCATTATATAGGCATAACTGACGAATTCATTGGTCATTGGTGACTGATTCAATCTCCAGCTCCTCTTTCCTCCCCAGAAATCAGGGGGTGAGGTCCAACTTTCCAACACTGTTTTCAAGATCGGTTCCTCAGGCAACAGCCCCCATCCTTCTGGTATTTCCAAAAGTCGCCTCAGAGACATAAACTTAGGTGTGGTAGAAAGGGGCTTGTTAGGAACAACACACTCATGTCACATTTATGGCTCTGAAGTGCTTTTAGGAACTGAGGACAAGAGACTAAATATGACAGAAGAAGGTCCCACTCCTCTTACAGCTCAGGAAATTTCATGGATTTGGGGAGCTGTGATCCACAACTACAGATGAAGTCCAAATATATGTGAGAGATATGTTTTAATTATCTGAATGACCAAACACATATTTCTTATAATTCACAATATCACACAATCTAGTGATGTTGCCATTGGTGCCACTGCCCTTGGACACTTGAAGCCACCACATCCTTGGCACCATGCTATTCCTGGACTCTCAATGCTTAAATTTCTTATGTATCCGTCATCTCCAACTGGCCTTACACCTTGCATCACACCTTTAGGATCCTGAATCCTAGGAAGAATCTTGCATTTGCCCAAGCTTAGGTCAAGGCATATGCCTGGCACTTAGATGCAGGAGATGTGTTTGCCTCCATACTCAGTAGTAGAGGAAGTAGCACTCTGCACCTTAGTGAGACTTGTGCATTGAGGCATGTCCCCCAGGTATAGAAGGTATTGGGTGCTGGAGAGCCAAAAGGTGATAAATATATCTGGTCTGTCATAGTTACTCCTAGTACCATCATGTTTGTGGTCTCCATCCTCTGCCAAGGCTGGAGTTCAGGGAACTACACACCTTGCCTCTAGGATGAGTACCTGAGGAACCACATTTTATAGGTATACCCTCTTTGGACCACTTGCCTCAGAATCCCCTGGGCTGGTAGTTAAAATGCAGATTGCTGAGCTTTCCTAGACCTACCAAATCAGAATCTCTGGGGGTGCAACTCAGGCATGTAAATGCTTGCCAACTTCCTGAGTGATTTAACCACGTGCCCATACTTGAGAACCACAGTAAAATAAAGCAAGAGTAAAGAAGGCAAGTCATCAGCAAAGTTTGAGGTCTATCTTGAAGGACAGGACAAATTTGGATGCACAGTGTCATTCCAGATGGGGGAATGGCAGAGGGGTTGCAGGATGTAGTGGTCAGTGGTCAAGGATGGGAAAGTCCTGGTGACCTGAGGAAATGAGTGGAGCAGAGGTGGGACATCAGATGGGTGGGTCCAAACTCACTATGGTGGAGAATGGGGAGCTCTCCAGTGTTGACCAATGGGGTTGTGACGTAAGGGAAGCAGGAAGGAAGATGTCACAAGGGCAGTGATCACTCTTTTCTCTTCTGCATTTTCCTGAGTTGCTCCCTCTTCACACTTCCCTTCTTAATTGCAAAGTAATAGTCAAGCCTCTCAGGGTACATGGAAAACAGTCCTGTGGGGGCAGCATCCTCCAGCATCTGGAAGAACCCTGGGATGCCCAGGACCCAGTGGATCCTGGGATCGGGTTAGGATGGAGGGGACAGGGCTATGGGGGTGGCCATGGCTGCTGTTGCTGCTTTTCTGGGCCTTAGGTAAGGAGATGCAGGGGGAGGAATGCAGATGGCTGAAGGGGTACCTGTGAAGAGGGGTTTCTCTCCCTTCTTTAGAAGGGACTGGATGGGATCAGGGTGTGTGCTAGACACAGGAAAGAGACATGAAAGTAATGGATACACCTGTCCCAGTAGGAACTGGGTGATGAAACAGAATATGGAGGTTCCTCTAGTGCACTGTAAAGTTGAGAAATTATGTGAAGTCATCCAAACAGCCTCTCATCACTATGCTGATTCCTGGAAGATGTAAATTGTAAGACAAAGTCTCTCCTTAAAAGAATTAGGCACTGAGGTAGAGGAGGCATGAATATAAAAGAAAGGTAAATTAAAAAGGGGGAAAGATGCGGCATGAAGACAAAAATACAGTGGAAGTCCCTCTAGCAATGCCAGAGAGGCCATGTGGAAAAGAGGGGGAAGATTCTGGAATCAGACAGAACAAGTTTCAAATCCCAAATTCAGATATGCTACTTCTACATTTGTGACCTTAGGAAGTCCTCCTACCTCTCTGAGCCTCAGTGTCCACATTTACAAATAGCACCTATTCCATATTTATTTGTACATAGGGGTTGTCCTAAGAGTTAAGTAGCAGACTGATGTAAAATTCTTAGGTTCAGTATTTAGGGCATAGTAAGTGGCTTAATAAAAGTTTGGTGGATGATGATGGTGGTGGTGGTGCAAGCAGATGCAGGGTGATTAGTGGTATTGAGGATTGAAAGATGAAAGAGATTAGTGCAGGTGGAATTGTTCAGGTAGATTCTACTCTGGGACCAGAAGGGACAGATGTGGGCAGAGAGGAGTGGGGAGAGCATTCAGCTGGGGGATGGCAGGGGCTAATATGAAGTACCATGTACTGGAAAGCAAGGGACCTGTCTGGGGAAGCACGAGTAGAAAAGAATGTGGGTTGTAAAACAAGTTCAGTTCTTCTTTACTTTTTTTTTTTATCATTTTATTAAAATTTTCCCGTCTACAAAATATAGAAAGAATAGCCACCATAAACTTATTACCTAGATTCAGAATCCAACCATAATTGATATTTTGCCCTATTTGCTCCATATATATGTACATTGCTGATTTAAGTATATATTATTGTATATTACATATTTTTATATATATTTATTTATAAAATTGCTGAATCATTTCAAAATAATTTACAGAAATCCTACAAAACAGGAACCAACAAATGATGGCGAGAATGTGGAGAAAGGGGAACCCTCTTGCACTGTTGGTGGGAATGCAAGTTGATACAGCCACTGTGGAAAACAGTGTGGAGATTCCTCAAGAAGTTAAAAATAGAGCTACCTATGACCCAGCAATTGCACTACTAGGTATTTACCCCAAGGATACAGATGTAGTGAAAAGAAGGGCCACATGCACCCCAATGATCATAGCAGCAATGTCCACAAGAGCCAAACTGTGGAAGGAGCTGAGATGCCCTTCAACAGAATGGGTAAAGAAGATGTGGTCCATATACACAATGGAATATTATTCAGCCATCAGAAAAGATGAATATCCACCCTTTGCATCAACATGGATGGAACTCGGGATTATGTTAAGTTAAGTAAGTGAAACAGAGAAAGACAATTATCTTATGGTTTCATTCATATGTGGAACATAAGAAATAGCACAGAGGACTGCAAGGGACGGGAGGGAAATCTGAAGGGGGGGAGAAATCAGAGGGAGAAGAACCATAAGAAACTATGGATCCCTGGGAAACAATCTGGGGGTTTCAGAGGGGAAGAGGTAACAGGCTGATGAGTACTAAGGAGGACAGGTGTTATCATGAGCACTGAGTATTATACCTAACTAGTGAATCATTGAACACCGCATCAAAGACTAATTGTTTACTATACAGTGGCTAACTGAACATAATAAAAAATAATAATTAAAAAATAAGAAATCCCAAATTACTCATAAATGTTATTTGGAGCTCCTAATACGTTTGATCTATGACCTTGTATCTGCACTGGGGTCTGCAGATGTAGGGATGGTGGAAGAAACACTTACTCAGTGAAGCTCTTCGACTTCTCATTCCAGGATTCCAAGCTGTAGGTGAAGGGGAGAGACAAAAGTGCCTCTTGGGAAGAAAGAACTGAACATCGTATTCTACTCCTCCAGTCTGAAGGCCTGGCAGCGGGAGAGGAGCCAGGGTCCCCCGGAGACACTGGTGCACATGAACACTAGGAGAAAAGACCTAAACTGCGCCCAGGCTGGAAGATACCTCTTGAAGCATTGTCCCAGGGAAGCTGTATGCAAGGTCACAGTGACAGCGCTCTGGTGGAAGGACTTGGGGCTGTACCAGTGGGTAAAGGACCTCTTACCTCAGAACCCCCATGTCCTGTCCAAACAGATTCGGTTGATAGAATGCAAAGGTGAGAAGCAGGACAGGACAGGGAAGGGGTTTTGTGGAGGATGACCTCAACCACAGGTTGGGGACCCATCTGCTGGGAGGCCTGCTTTGGAGAGATGGTGCAGAGTAATGGGAAAAGCTCCAGACCCAAAATCAGTGCACCTGGGTCTTCCACACTCACATTTTGTGAGTTGGAGAAAGCTGATAGCAGCTTCATACTCCCTTTCTCTGGTAATTGGGGGAAAACTCTAGGCTAATATGGATAAAGAAACTGAGTCTAGTACAGATTGCTCCTGCCCGAAGGAAGTATTAGTCTCACAGGCGAGACAAAACATAATCTTCTGGAAAGGGTACCTGCAGTAATGCCTGGGTTTGTACTAAACTCCATCAGACTGATTTTTAGTTAGGTTAAAACAAACGAGCAGAGGTTTCTTTCTGGGACGGCCTTGGCCTCCCCAGAGATAAATGGACGTTCCCTCAGGGCATTGGGGGGATTTCTTCTTTATCCTTCTTGACTTTTTCTTCAGTGATCCAGGTGGAGAAGGGTATGGCAGTTGCTGACCACAGAAAGAAACTTAATATACTGGGGGGTGGGGGAGATACATGGAGGTGATGGATGTTGTCCACCCAACCCACAGTAGGAAGGAAGGCCTGAAATGAGAATTTCGGAGTATAGAAGATGGGCTGGGGCAGGGTGGGGGAGGGGAGGCGGGCAGGAGGGAGGTTCCCTGCCTCACGGGCAAGCTCCAGGTCAGGTTGGAGGCAAGAGCAGAAGGACCTTTGTGGCAGGTGAGTGGTTCACTTGACTGCAATGGGCTGGGAGGACATGGGTGCTAAGAGCTAAAAGATTAGACCAGGCTCACTGGACGAGACTCCAGAGGCTGAGGCCAGCTGGATATCACAGAGATATATAAGAATGGAGTCAGGAAACATAGGTTCCAGTGCTTGTTTTGTCGGCTGAGTGACCTTGGGCACTCCCTGTCACCTTGTTCCTTGGGGGATTGGACTGGATGGTATTGAATACGCCTTCTACCTTTGACCTTTCATGACCTTTGAATGTTTCTCAAACAGAGTATAGTCCCTGGTAAGGATTTTGGGAGAGGGCTGCTCAACATGTAGAAGAAGAAAGAGGTCGCTTTCTGGTTCATAGTAGGTCAGCCGGGTTGTGCAGACAGGCTGGCAAGCTCAGGGATGCTGAGACATCTTCAGCAAGCATTTCCTGGGCATCCAGTAGTAGCCTGTGTCAGTCAAGGCTCAGAAGGGCTTTTTATCTCTTCCAGAAAATGGCACTGGCCAAAAGAACCAACCAAGGCAATCTGGATCCAATGTGAGTTGTGTCCGGACAAGGGTTGTTCCATGAAGGCCAAAGAAAAGTGAGTAAGGGCTTAGCTGAGGCCCTGAGCTCAGGGCCCACCTATGAACTCCAGGGAGCCAGGCCGACCACATGGAAGACTTTCTTCTGCTCCAGGTGGGCCAAGGGAGTGCTGAATCCTAGCAGGCAGAATGACCTTCGCTTTTGTTTCTATCCTGAAGCCCCAGTGCAAGGGTTGAGTGTTACTACTTCAAGGCAGCAAAAGTCCCATCCACCAGCCACAGAGGAAAGGAGCTGGGAACATGCAGGCATATCATACCCCTGACAATGAGGCACTGCTTAGAAAATGGGATAGAAAATGGAAATGGAAATTTAGGAAAATGGAATCTGAGTATCAGCAGCCTCTTCCTCAGAGTTGAAGGAATGGGCTCAACCGAAGTCCATCCCTACCCAGAACTGTTGGGGAGTGAGAGTCATGGGTGTGTGTCGGAGAACACTACCTGGAAGGGGAGAAATGTTGAAATGTACAAAGGGGGATGGCATTCCATGCCAGGAGCAAGTGGTGGGAACGCATGCACAGAGTGGGCCAGCTACAGTGGTGGATAGCTGGGCTGAGTGTCAAGGAGAGGGTAAGGATAATGCACGACCATACATTCAGATTGTGGAGACACTGGAAGGCCACGCGGTCATGCGCACTTTGTCCTGTAGGCAATGGGCTACAAAGGGCTTTCCTTAGACCCCCTGAGGGGAAGAGTGAGGGTCTTGGTTCAGTCACCCAGCAACTGTGCAGGAGGTTTGGAGAAAGGAGGTATTAGGGGCAGGAGACCAGATAGATTCCTCTGGGATGAGTGCCAAGGTTAAGGATCCTGGGAAAAGTAGAGGCCCTTCTTCAAAGGGTGCAAAGCCCTGCTTGGCTGCTCTCATAGCCAGGATCAGGCTGAGCTTCAGAGAAGAACATCCAGCAGATATCCACCCTTTTGGATTCTGGGGGTGAGGGTCAAACCTAGCACTCCAGTGATTGCTCTTCCCACAGGCCCGCTGCGGTTGGTGATTGTTCTGATATGTGGATCCATCCTGAGCAAGGGCCTTGTGGGTTCTTGGTCTCGTTTATCTCTCTCCATAAAGCCTGGGGCTCAGGTGAGTGGAGGCCAGGGACAGGCTTGGGTGGAAAGGAATGAGGGGACACAAGGTGGTGCATGCAGATGTGGGTTTAGAGGAACCAGCTCCCAGGGGTTCCCCAGAGCCTGTTCCCGTCTTTCCTCACTTCTGCGCTCAGAAGTCTTAGGAAAGGAGGCCCACCCCTGGGAATGATGTGAAGGGGGCTGGGCTGGCTCCTTGGGATGCATGGGAGGGGCAGGATGAGGATTTTTGTTACTGGGAACCCAGTCTTTGTTCTTCAGAGGAGGGAGGAAGACGCAGGCCTGGGCTGGCTTGGACGCGTCATTTTCAAATATCGTTCATTTCTTTTCTTTTCTTTTTTAAACATTCTTTTTTTAATTTTTAATTTTTTAATTTTTTTAAGATTTTATTATTTATTTATTCATTTGACAGACAGAGATCACAAGTAGGCAGAAAGGCAGGCAGAGAGAGAGGAAGGGAAGCAGGCTCCCCGCTGAGCAGAGAGACCGATGTGGGGCTCGATGCCAGGACCCTGGGATCATGACCTGAGCCGAAGGCAGAGGCTTTAACCCACTGAGTCACCCAGACGCCCCAATATTGTTCATTTCTGTCACTCCTCAGGTAAGGTAGGTTCCTGAAGTGTCCCCAAGGCACAGCAAACACAGGGAAGCAGACTTAACCTTCCAGGAGCAGATGGGCATGCCTTCTTCCACTAACAAATACCACATTCCACTCTGTTCAGTGGTAAATAAGGGAGGAATGGTCCACAGTCTCTGTCCCCAAAAATCTCAGCCAAAACTTAGATGAAAACAGTTCAAATTTGAAAAGTCTTTTTTTTTTCGTCAGTGGAAAGACAATTACAAACATATATTCTTTGTTGTGTTATGACAAATACACCCTTTTTAAATTATAAATTTGTTATAATAAAAGTTCCTGTTTACCAAAAACAATATATTAGACATTATTATGTGTTGCATATTGCATAAGAAGATACAAACACAAAGAATTCCTATTTTTTCCTATTCCAAAATCTATGGTACTTTTCTCAAACATCTCTGTGTGTTTAAGAAAATGACTCTTATTTCTCTGCTTCAATCTACTCCTGGGATACCCACATGATCATTAATTCCTCAGTGACATTTGGAAAATTCAGGTTCCATGGCAGTCACGTTCGTGAAAGCAGTTACAGTTTAGCATTTGTTTACAACAAACTTTTCAAAGCCTTGTAAAATCAGAACTGATTACATTTGAAACCAAGGGCAGGTCTTTTGGGGGTAGGGGCTGATCTTTGAGGACCAGGCTCCTCTGTGGGGTGCGAAGGGAAGTCACCATTTCCTTCCACCTCCTCTGCATGTTTGTGTAGAGAATGTCACCTTTGCAGGACTAGGCTAGTCTATTGAGCAAATCTGAGCAAGTGTCCTTGCCCATCTCCTGCAGCCAGGCTCCCAGACCAGTCCTTCCTCCTTAAATATTCCCATTCCTACACACTGTGTGGTTTCGGGATAAACCAGTTCCTGTCCCAAGCTGGACCTATAACCTCTTATCTAATGTTAAGAAGTAATATCCACCTACAGGATGGGGGAGAAAGCCAATTGCAAACAGAATGCAAACATGCTTTGTTTTTGCTTTTTTAAAAAATTTAAGATCTTTAAGTGCTCACAACTGAGTTGTCCTACTCCTTATCCCTTGGCACAGTCACCTATGGAAATACTTTACCATTCACTTGGTTTAATGGATTTTTACTTTTCTCATCTTCACCCATCCATTATGATCCCTTCCCACAGGCATCCTCTTAATATATTTAATGTATACCCTTTCAATCTACTGTCCATATGTTTATTTTTTTTAAGATTTTTTTAAAATTTATTTGACACAGAGAGAGATCACAAGTAAGTAGAGCAGCAGGCAGAGATAGAGGGGGAAGCAGGCTCCCCACTGAGCAGAGAGCCCGATGCAGGGCTCGATCCCAGGACCCTGAGATCATGACGTGAGCTGAAGGCAGAGGCTTAACCCACTGAACCACCCAGGCACCTCTGTCCATATGTTTATTTTTATCTGTGTAGATCATTGACAACATGTAGAATTGATTTTATGTGCCTTGTTTCATACATATTTCATTGTATTGTATAAAAAATGTGCACTTGGGTGGGAAACTGCATTGTTTCCAGCACATTCTTCCTTGTGTTCTCTGATTCTGGGGGAGGTATTTTACAGTTTTGCAAGTTGCAGGTAAGTGGTAGACATGCAGATCCTGTCCTATGTTCCTTCCCCTGCTGTGGGGGAAAATAAATCCCAGACTGGTTTGTTTTCCTATGCAATTTGTTTCAACATTCCTTTCCTCCATATAAATGTATGCTTCTTGACTTCCTTTTCTAACCGATCTTAATGTTTGCCTGGTTTATTCACTGAGTATGAGTTAAAAAGAATCTTTAATTTTTCAACTGTATGGAAGTTGCAATTTAACCTTTTTTTAAAAAACTATAACTGTTTATAAATTTCATTCAATCCTTCTATTTTGCTTCTGAGACTGTCTTTGTTGCTCTATGTAGATTTAAATCTTCGATTTGTTTGCCTGCTGTGTATGATTCCATGTAAGTGTTGAATTTTACTTTTCTATTCCCCTTGTGATGGACACCTAACCTGCTTCAACAGCTGACTATAAAAATAAACAAATGAGCAAAATCCAGAAAAATGAAAAGCAGTCTGAAGTAAACATCCTCATCATCTTCCTGGAGGACCCATGTAAGATTTTTTTCTAGATCACATACCCAGGAGGCATAACGCGAATAAAGCAAGGGTTCAGAAACACATCCATATGCGTATTCACTCGATTATCACACAGGTGCCCCTGGAATTCAGTGGGGAAGTTTGGTCTTCCTAACAGATGTTGATGGTCTTTTGGATAGTCGCCTAAGGGGAAAAAAGGCTTTTACCCTTCTCTCACACCATACACACAATGAACTAAAATGGATCATAGACCTAAACATGAAAGGTATAAACAATAAAGCTTCTAGAAGAAAACAGAAAATATGACCTTGGAGTAGGCAAATGTTTCCTCAACAGGACACAAAAAACAGTAACCACAATAGAGTATACAGTGAGGAGTTGGGCGCTAAGTGTAGGACAGTCATACATTTATTCCACATGGTAGTTCCAGAACTTTCTCACAATCTCACTGATACTGAATCTTATCCAACTTCCTAGCCCCTGCCAGTGTGCCCAGTACAAAGGGGCAGCTCAGCGCTTCACAGGAGTGTTTCTCTGAGAACAAACAAGATCAAACATCTATCCGTGGGCTTGTAGGCATTTGGATTTTTATTGCGGTGGATCTCCTGCTTCTGATCATTCTGCTATTGGACATCCTTTCTTCTGCTTGCAGATTCTCAGTAACTCCTTGGTTCCTTTACGTATTCATCCACGGTCAGTTTTAGACACTGCAAATATCTCCCCTCTGTTTCTCATCTGCTACTTGGCAAGCACACTGCACCTCAGTGATTTGGTGCAGAAGACACAAGAAACCATTTTTAGATTTAGACAGTCTGTTACTTACACAGGTAGTAAAAGGAAGATCAGCTGAATGTTCCAGCTTCCTGGGGTCCTCGTCCCATACTCAAGACAAGACAGTCCGAGAACCGCAGCCAGCCACGTGATACCCCACAGCTGAGGAGCCTGTTGGCGACGGCCACTTTCAGTGGTCTTACAGTCTGTTCTGAGGGGGACAGCAGAAAGACTCGTACCTCAACAGAACATAGGGGGTGACGAGTGACGAGAAGCTGTCTTCCAGGAGGGGATTAGATGGAGAGTGGCAGGTGTTCGCTGCCGCTGTTTCTCATTCCAGGAAGAGCCAAGAGCATCTGTCTGACTCAGAGTTGCTGTAGTTCAAACCTTCACCGCATGGCTCCTGTGGCTGCAGGCAGGAGGGCCAGTGTCTGCGTGGAGCTCTTCTCCGGTGTTGCTTTTGTCCATGATAGCCTTTGTTTGAAAAATAAATGTTTGTGCTGTGTGCTGAAACCATTATAACTACATCCCGTTTTGGCCACATCTTACTGCCCATGTCAACATGACTTTGCTCTTCCACAGTTCCTAAGTATTACCTTACTTTTCCAGGTGTTTTTGACCAGGCAAACGGTTTCATTGTTCATTATAGAAACTTCCTAGAAGATCCATCGACTCTCCAATGGAAAGCATCACGAGATAGTCTGTGCCCTAAGAACCTTTGAATCCCTGCCTCAAAATCCTCGCCTTGCTGTTCCTGCCAGTCCTGGACCGATGTGCAGCAATCCTTCCCCACTCCTGATGCAGCCCCTGCTATGCCAACACCTGCCTTCAACCAAACTTCTCGATAAACTCGGACCTTGCCTTCCTCTAGGACACTGCCACAGCTCTGCCGAGGCGGTGTCCTCCCTGTTCGCCAGGAGCAATAAACTCAGCTTTCTCTTCTCCGTAGATTTTGTTGCTGATGTTTGTGGGACGAGAGCATTTGGCAAGGTAATGAATTAATCCGTTTTTCCCATTATGTGTTAGGTTTCAGGATCTTACTTAAGATCCCAGTCTGAA